AACACAGCTGTGCTCTTGATGCTGGGTCTGCCCTGGCGGCAAACCTCAAGGTTCTGGGGTGTGGGGAGTGGTGGTCGTTATTAGATGATGGCGAGTCAACTACAACTCACAGAATCCCATGAACAACAAATCTGAACCCTGTCCTTTCCAGTTCCATCCTCACGACCTCTGACACTTTCAGGACCGCTGCTCCAGTCTCTGTGCCAATCCACCTGGTTGAGGGTCTTCCTTTCTTTCATCAACCTTCCATCTTCTCAAGAATGATGTTCATTTCAAATGAATAAGCTTCTCCAAGCAACATGACCGAAGTCTGTGAGATGAAGTTCATAATTTGTGCCTCCTGTTAAGGAACACTCTGGCTGCACCTTCTCCAAGACATCTCTGTTTTCTCTTTTGGCAAGCTATGGCTACTCAGTTATTGCTGTTGTTAGGTGCTGTCTAGTCGAGTATGACTCATAGTGACCCTATGAACAAAAGACCTGAACCCAGTCTTGTCCTGTGCCATTGTCACACTTCATGACACACAAAAGCCCACTGCAGCAGTCGCCGTGTCTATTCACCCGGCTGAGTGTCTTCCACTGCTTTGCCGACGCTCCACACTTTCCAGCATCATGTCCTTCTCCAAGGAATAGCCTCTCCTAGCAACATGCCCAAAGTATGTTAGGCAAAGCCTCATCAACCTTACCTATAAAGAGCCCTCCAGCTGCACCCTCTCCAAGACATATTTGTTTGTTTTCCCTACCATCCATGGGGTGTTCAGCTCTCCTCTTCAACAACACAGCTCAAAGGTATCAATTCTTCTTCTGTCATTTGTATTCACTGTCCAGCTCTCAGATGCATAGCAAGTGATTAAGAAGACCATGATTTGAATCAGGCACACCTTAGTCCTAAAACTGACATCATTGCTCCTCAATAATTTGGAGTATCCCCTGACTTTAGACTTTCCCAGCACAATATGCCTCCTGATCTCCTTACTGCTGTCACCAAGTGTGCTGACTGTGGAGCCAAGTAGGATGAAGCCTTGACAGTTTCAGTCTTTCTCCATCTCTTATGATGTCAGTTAACAATCTAGTGGTGAGAATTTTTATTTTCTTGACATTGAGATGCAATCTATATTGAAGGTTGCAGTGTCTGATCTTCTGCAACAAGCACCTCAAGTACTCCTCGCTTTCAGCAAGCAAGGTTGTGTCATACTCATAGGGAAGGTCTTGAGAACTGATGAGTCTTCCTTCAATCCCGATGCTATATTTTTCTTCAGAGTTCAGTTTCTCAAATAATTTGCTCAGCATACAGTGTGAGTAAGTCTGGGGAAAGGATACAGTCCTGAGAAATACCTTTATTCATTTTAAACCATTTAGTGTTCCCCTCACACAATTAAGTGTTCTGGGATTCCCATTCTCAATGTTAGCCATAATTTGTTAGGATCCACGCAGTCCAATGCCTTTGCGTAGTTAATAAAACACAAATACACATTTTTCTGGTATTCTGTACTTTCAGCCAGGATTCATCTGACATCAGCAATGATATCCCTGGTGTCACGGCCTCTTTTAAAACCAGCTTGTACTTCCGGCAGCTCCGTGTCAATGTCCTGTTCTGGATGCTTTTGGATGATCTTCAACAATATTTTGCTTGTGTAAGATATTAATGATATTGTCTGATAGTTCCCACATTCTTGGGAATGAGAACAAATATGGATCTCTTCCAGCTGGTCAGCCAGGCAGCTGTCTTTCCAATTTCCTGGCATTGGGAGTAGAGTAATAGCAAAAAAAAAAAAATCCAAACCCAGCCCTCTTCGTGGAGATTCTAAGTCATTCACAGGAATCCTGTAGGAAGAGCTGAACTGCTGTATAGGGTTTCCAAGGCTGTAAACTTTATGGAATGAGATGCCACGTCATTCTCTCAAAGCAGTTGGTGAGTTCAAACCGTTAACCTTTGGATTATCAGCTGACCACTTTAATCACAATGCTATGAGGGCTCGTGCAAGAGGACAGGGAAGAACAAAATGCAGCCTCTGCAAATGACTGCTGGTGAAAGGGCACCACCACCAACAGGGAGAAACCTGGGACATGGGGTTTGAGCTTTTGATTGTCTTGAGGCAAACTGAGCATTAATTTTTCCAAAGTTTCAAAATGGAAAAGTGGCATTCTCTCCCCTAATCCCTTTCCTGTTGAATTCCTTCTTGAGAGAGGCTCCCCTCTAGTCTTTCAGGTCACTGTTGTCAATCTGAGCCCACAGGGGAAGATCTTAGAAAAAGCCGTGTGTTCCCGACAGTGGCCTGCATCCACGGTGCCCTCACCAAGGGGCCTTCCTGGCAGTACCACTTGTCACATGGAACAGTAACTACTGGCGTCTTTATCTCTCCTCCCAAACGTGCCTCCCTCCCCACTGGGTTAGAAAACCCTTTGAGGGAGGGTGCTCTGTCTTCGTCATTTTTGCATCTTCCACAACTGCTTCCTGGGAAAATCTCATCGCTGTCCAGTCAGAACCAACTCATAGCTGACCCTCTGGCAGGTTTTCAGAAGCTGTAAACCGCATGAGAGGAAACTGTCCATCTTTCTTCCTGGAGCAGCTGGTGGATCCGAACTATCTACCTTTGGGAAACAAACACTGTGGAATACCTAACAACGTATTGCGATGGGAAAGTCTGCTGTTAGGGACCTTTCTGGGTTACTGAAGAGCAATGGTGTCACTCTGGAGACTAAGGTGTGCCTTATACAGGCCATGGTCTTTGCAATCACTTGTTATGCAACAGAGAGTTGGACAATGACTAGGGAGGATAGGAGGAGACTTGATGCCTTTGAGCTGAGGTGCTGGAGAAGAATGTTGAACGTACCCTGGACTGCCAAGAAAACAAACAGATTCATGGAGAGGGTTAAACCGGGCTGCACATTGGAGGCAAGGATTCTGAGGCTTCGTCTGACACACTTTGGACATGCTGTAAGGAGGGACAGGTCCTTGGAGAGGATCATCATGCTTGGGAGGGTGGAGGGACGGCGCAGGAGGGGAAGACCCTCTATGAGGTGGATTGATTCAGTGCCTGGGGTAACCGGGATGGGTGTGTCAGAGACAGTGCGATTGGCACAGGACAGAGCGGAGTTTACGGCTGTTGTATACAGGGTTGCTATGAGTCGCAAGCGACTTGACAGCACATAACAACAACAACAAACAACAATTCTTCAGCTTGCTACTCTCTGGATAACTAAGAGTAGAAAACTCCTTGCGTCCACGACAGGAGGGCTCTGCGGGTAACTGGAATATTCCACAGGCTTCTCTAACAGGAGCTCTAGTGGTCTACCCCTTGAAGTTGTGTTGTGAACCAGAAAATGGTGCCTCTCTGATGGTTCAAATCCGACAATGGCTCCAAGAAAGAAAGAAAGATGGACAGTCTCCCAGGTGACTTACAGCCTCAGAAACCCAATGGAGGGTCAGTGGTGAGTCTGACTAGACAGCAATGAGGAGCTTTTGATAGGCTTTGTGAAAAGTAATTTATTTTGTATGTTTTTGTCGTTACTGTTGAGAATAAACAGAGTAGAATTTACCCCAATCCAGTAGTCTCTGTGTAATTCAATGACACTGATGACATTTTTTGAGTTGACAACCATCCTCACCCTCCTTTTCCTAGCTCTTCCTCCTTCATATAAACTCGCTGCCCCCAAGGCTCTCATCTAGCCTTTCTTTTTTTTTTTTTTTTAGGCACAGAGAGTAATGTATTTGTTCTGGACCTGCATGCTGGAATTTCACAGGAAAGGCAGGAGGTGGGAGGACAGGAGTTCACTTCTTTTTGCCAAAAAGGCTGAAGCGCTTCTCTTTGTCTTTCTCTTTGTCCTTCTCTCGCTTGCCGGGGCTGGAGTCGCTGGTGATGGTGACAACGCTGGTCGGTAAGGTCTGGGCCCGGCTGGACGCTGGCATGCTCTGGGTGCTGGCTGACACCTCGTGTTTGCCGGAGGAGATGGCGGACGAGATGGCCTGGATCCACGTGTTCATTTCCTCGTCGTCTTTGGCTTGGAAGAGGTACTCATTGCCATCGTTTAGTCTGAGCTTGAAGACGTGTTTCTTCTTTTTGTAATCAACAGCCACTTCACAGATGGCTTCCTTCAAGCTCACGGGGACCTCGCTGTGGTAATCATCTAGCCTTTCAAGTTGCCTTTCTTGATTTGATCTCATACGGGCAGATCTTAAAAGAGCTCAGTGTTCAGAGCTGCCATTCTTTACTGGTTTGGTTGTAAGAAGACACCAGGAGATTTTTTTTTTGGCTTCAAGTTTAACGAGGTTCTCAGGACAGTGGCATCAGGGGTTCAGCCAGTCTCTATGGTTCCAGAAAGCCTACATTCCATGAGAATTTGACATTTGTTCTACATTTTCCTTCCATCAGGCTTTTCGGATCTCTGAAAAGAACAACGAAGGGGCAGTGGGGCCAGATGGGTGAATCCAGCCATCCTGAGGGACTCAAACCCACTACCATGAGCACTGACACAAATCCAACCAAATACTTCCCCACTGAGGCTCACCTCTGTTCCTGGCAGCCTGTGTACACGATGGACTTTCATTTCTTAAATGCTTGCCCAGGAGTGAGCCAGGCAAGACGGTGACTATTGTGCCCCTTTTACAGATGAGGAAACTGAGGCTCGGAGAAACTGAATAACCTGTCCAAGGCTGTGGTTTGATGTGTGCTGAGACAATGTAGGGACCCAGTTATCCAGACCTTTCTTATCCCCTCTCCCCTGCCTTGGTGTCACACCGAGCTTAGGACAAGGAACTCCAAGGTGGCCACGAGGAAGCAGAGGCAACAAGCTAGGACCCGGGGGTGAGCAGAAACTGAAACCAACTTTTGAGTGCTACAGAGTTCCGATACACCTAACCAGATCACTGCAGTCAACTGAACTACTTCCCTTCCTGCTAAGTTTAAACATGCCCCCCTGAACAGGAGTATTGGTGGTTAGAAGGTGTGGTTATCTGCTGCTGCTGTGTGGTCGACAGGTCACAGAGACAGGGGCACTTACTTGATTTTTCTTCTTTAATGTTGTATTCAAGCACCCTGGACAAGCCCTCATTCCTCGAAGGGACGTGGACACAGAGAACCAGGCGCTTGGAGCTGCTGTTCTTACGGACCAGAAACATCTGAAACGGGAGGGGAGGAGCGGTCACTCGGTGCAGGATCTGGGTGGAGGTGTGAAGGACTATTGGGGACAGAACTTATCCCAAATGCTCCCGAGACAGGAGCCGACACGGGACGGTCAAGCATCCCTCAGCAGAACTCAGAACCCTGGTACCTGCCCCACGTCACCAGTTGCTTGAATACGGTTTCTCATTTGCCCATTGAAGGTGCTGTTGGCTGGCCACCCCAGTGCACTGGAACAGGACACCACCTAGTCCATCCTCATCTCAGGGCCACTGGGACCCACAGGATATCCACAGGCTGGTTTTTGGAAATAGTGTGTCAGGCCTTTCTTCCTAATCTGTCCCAGCCTGGAAGTTCTACTGAAACCTGTTCGGCATCATAGCAACACACAGGTCCCCACCGTGACAGAGCATTGGCGACTGTGTATCAGGTGCACTGGCCAGGAATCGAACCCTGGTCTCCCACATGGAAGGTGAGAATTCTACCACTGAGCCAGGAATCGAACCCCGGTCTCCCACATGGAAGGTGAGAATTCTACCACTGAGCCACCACGGCTCACTGAAGGGAGTTTAGCTAAGCCAATCTTTCCCCGTGGATGTTTGTGGACAGAGGCAGCCAGGGGGCTGATTATAATGCAGGTCTCGGTGACCTGCCCCACATCCCTGGTTCCTAGCATGTTGTTGTTGTGTGCTGCTCAGTCACCACTAACTTATAGCTGAGACTGCCCATCGTTCTCCCAAGGAGCAGCTGGTGGATTCAAACCAAGTGCCTTCGGGTTAATAGTACAGCACCTTACCATGAGGCCACCAGCGCTCTCTATGGTACCTGCCACAGGGCCTGGGAATGAGCATGAAAACAAGCTCTGTTTACACCCTAACACGTATTTACATGCTCTCCAGCATTTAAAGAAGCAGATTCTCACAGGACGGTCCAGGAGAGTCCAGGAGGTGTGTACCTAGAAAAAGACTAACATACGGGAAGTCAGGTGGAACGTCCCCAGTGCTCTGGGACGCGTGCCTGTAATAATCACAGAAACCAGCCAACCATACCTTGTACCCCCCAAAATAAAAACAGCTAATGCTTAATATAGAGTCTTCTCTGTCACAGGAACTGTTCTGAATACACAGGTTCTCTTCCTTCACATCGGGATAGCAAATTTATGATGCAGATTTTGTCACCATATAGTCCCCATTTTACAGATGAAGAAACTGAGGCACTCTCCCATCGTTAACAGAAGGGCCTTCCTCAATGTTATGACGGTTGAATGAGTTAATACCTGTGAAGGGCTTAGCCCACAGAACATTCTGGAAGGGTCAGCTGTCCAAGGTTATGGAAACTCTCAGAGGGAGAGCTGGGATTCAAACCCACACATGGGTGTCATACTCCTGACGGCTATGTGACCACAAATTCCGCCTGTTAACGGGAGTCTGATGTGAAGATGGCTTTGGCCCTGAGGACACACCTCTGCTCTAGGAATCAGTCACCCAAGTTGAAACCGGAGTCCACATTTACAGACACCCTGCGCTTCCTCTGTTCCCGGCACTGAGCCGTTCCACTCGAGTGAGGGAGGACTTAGCAGATGCACCCACCGCTGTCCCCAGGGGCCAGGCCATCACGGGGAGAGGAATCACCAATTCCTTCCACAAATTCAGTGGTTTCAAAATGCTGATTTTAGTCTTAGCTTGCCTCCATCACACTTACCCTGTTTTCCTGGGTGAAGGGCAGTATTTTCTGAAACTAAGCCCGCCTCCTGGGGTACAGTTGCTGAGGACAGGGCATCCCTTCACTGGGATAGGGCATCCTTGATAAGGCCATCGTGCCCTGCCCCTGCCCTGCCACTGCAGGCCGAGTCCCTTCCACGCAGCCCCCAAGGACACAGGCTGGAGGGCTGAAGTGAGGGGGACGCAGATCCGGAGTGAGGTGAGGGGTGGGTGGCAGCAGGGTCAGTGGGCCTGTCAGAGGACATGGCCCCAGAGGACAGAGACTCCCACGGAGGATTGGGGAGCTGCCCTTCCCACTGGCAGTGCGCTCTGTCCTGCTGCTATTGTTATCCACCGCGGCACTGCTGTTGAGTTGAAAACCTCCAGCATGTTTTCAAAGACTGTAAATCACATGGGAAGAGACTGTCTATCTTTCTCCTGCAGAGCAGCTAGTAGACGAACCATTTGCCTGGGAATTGGCAGTGCAACTCTCTAACCATTAGGCCACCTGAGCTCTCCTTGCTCTGTCCTACTGGCCCTTTAAAGTCACCACCTTCAAGTCAAAAGAGTTGAACTGCCCCACAGTTCATGTCATGTTCATACAAACAGGCTTCTTCAACTGTCTCCCACAAGGGAGTGAGTGGGTGAGTTTGAACCATCAAACTTTTGTTTAGCAGCCATATTCTTCAATTACTCTGCCACGAAGATTCAACCCTTGAGAAACTCCAAAGTCCACTGCCATCGTATTGATCCAAACTCATGGCCGTAGAGTTGGAGCCAATTGATAGCTGGCCCTCTGTTAGGACGCTCGGACTGTACGTCTCATAGGAGAGACTAGCTCTCCTTCTCCTGCAGAGTTGCTGGTGGCTTCAAACCGCCAGAGAGGCGTGGCTTTTGTGTTTGCAGTGCAACTTCCTACCAACGAGGCCAACAGAGATTACTGCAACGAGCTCTGGTGGTCTCCTGTAAGGAATTGTGCTACCAACACAAAGGCACTAGGTTCAAATCCACAAGCTGCTGTGTGGGTGAAAGATGGATTATCTCCTCTCAGGCATCTGAAAACCCACTAGACAATCAGCTATGAGTTGGTCTTGACTTGATGGTACCAAACAACAATGTTGTTGTTGTTGTTAAGTGCCATCATAGGCAACTCCTAGCGACCCTATGAATGGAAGTCCTCAACACTTGTGTGCCTTTCATCCTTTCTCCATGTTCGTAGGGTTTCTGGAGGCAAGCTATTTACGGAAGTGGATGCTACTCCTCCTTCCAAGCCTGTTTTAATAGGGGAGCTCCATCAAGCACTGTCCACCATGGGTAACCATTATCGCATTTGGCATATCAGTGTCACAGTGTTCAGCTTCACAGAAACCACGAGTTACCTCTGTACAGCAAATGGACAGACCAGTGCTATACCACCTAGAAGAATGTTGGACTGAAAACAATTAAAACCAGGACTCATTTTAATTAATAGGCAAGAGGATAGCAATTTGTTGTTAGAATTCTTGCAGTTCATGTGGGAGACCTGAGTTCAATTCCAACCAAAGCCCTGAGGTTGCTGTGATGGTGAACAGGATATAGCAGAACTCTCAGACTGAGAAGGACTAGGAAGAAAGGCCTGGCCACCCATTACTGAAAATCAGCCGCTGGCTTACTGTGGCTCACAATGGTCTGATCTACAACTGACTATCAGGACAGTGCAGAATCAGGCAGCATTTGGCTCTGTTGTACTCAAAGCTACACTGGGTCAGAGGCCAGCTCAACAAGAGACCACCAAAGATATAACTGTTAACATATTATTCTTACAGTAGCTGATAAAGTACTACTGCTGTATTGATATGCATGATTAATGGCAGCTACCACCAGTGGCCTACTAGGATTTAGAAGAGGCCGTGGCACCAGGGATATCACTGCTGATGTCAGATGGATCCTGGCTGAAATCAGAGAGTACCAGAAGAATGTCTACTTGTGCTTTATCGACTATGCAAGGACATGTGACTTTGTGGATCATAACAAGCCGGAGTTGACCTTGAGACAAATGGGAATCCCAGAGCACTTAATTGTGCTCTTGTGAAACCTACACCTGAACCAGGAGGCTGCTGTGCAGAGCAAGGGAACACTCATTGTTTAATGTGTCAGGGTTGTAGTCTCTCTCCATACCCACTCAATCTGTATGCTAAGTGAAATATTTGAGAAGCTGGACTCTGTGAAGAGGAATGTGACATCAGGATTGGAGGGAGACTCATCAATAACCTGCATTATGCAGACGACACGACCTCGCTTGCTGAAAGTGAGGAGGACTTGAAGCACTTGTAGAAGATCAAGGAATGCAGCCTTCAATATGGATTGCATCTCAATGTCAACAAAACAAAGATTCCTATCACTGAACCGATAGACAGCATCATGGTAGATGGAGAAGAGACTGAAATTGTCAACAACTTCACCTTCCTTGGATCCATAATTAACATGCTTGGTATCAGCAGTCAGGAAATCAGGAGACATATTGCACTGGGAAAGTCTGCAGTTAAGAGACCTCTTCAAGTTATTGAGGAGTAACGATGTCAGTTTGAGGATTAAAGGGTGTCTGATTCAAACCATGGTTTTTCCACTCACTTGCTATGCATCTGAGAGCAGGAAACCAGGAGACGCATTGCACTGGGAAAATCTGCAGTTAGGGATCTCTCCAAATTATTGAGGAGTAACGATGTCAGCTTGAGGACTAATGTGCGTCTGATTCAGGCCACAGTCTTTCTGATCACTTGCTGTGCATCTGAGAGCTGGACAATGAATAAGGATGACAGAAGAAGAATTGATATCTTTCAGCTGTGGTGTTTGAGAAAAGCACAGAACATCCCATGGACAGCCAAGAGAACAAATAAATATGTCTTGGAGAAAATGCAGCCAGAGTGATCTTTGGAGGTAAGAATAAAGAAGCTTTGCCTCACATACTCTGGACATGTTGTTAGGAGGCGGTATTCCTTGGAGAGGGACGTGATGCCGGGAAGGGTGGAGGGTCAGTGAAGGAGAAGAAGACCCTCAATCAGGAGGACTGACACAGTGACTGCTGCAATGAGCTCTAATGTTTCAGGAAGTGAGGAGATGGCACAGAACAGGACTCGGTTCAGGTCTGCGGTTCACAGTGTTTCTGAGTCGTACTTGACAACATCTAACCATCACCACCACCACCAGCAATCCACAAGCTGCTCCATGGGAGAAGGACAGACAAACTCCTCCAGTGCAATTTACTGCCTCTGACAACCCACCGGAGGGTCACTATGGGTGGTTTTGACTTGACAGTGCAC